TTGATAACTATAAATATTTAGCTAATTAAATTTGTTAAATTTCAAGTTTCAACCTGTTAGTATATTAGTGGCCTTCGATGGTTTTAATTTGATACCACTCAACCTATCAAATAATATTAGTGCGAAGAGAGAAAAAAACATTAACATGAAACTTTGCTTGAATTCTTAGTATTTTATTTATAAAATAAATAATATCAAGATACAATCTTTAGTTTTCATGGTTCAAAATAAAAAAAATATTGATTTTGTATTAGTTGTATATTTAAATAACATCGACTTATACACACACATGAGTATTAATTATTAAATATTTATTTAAAAATATGATAAATATTATTTTTAAAGTATTTTTATTTAAAAATATATTAAAATAATATTTTTTAATATTTATTTTTTACATTAAACAATTTAAAAATATAAAAAAATAATTTAAAACTATTCGCTATAACATTACACCGAACTTCTAATCCACCCATCTTTCTCCCTCCATCTCAGCTTCAAGCTTTTAAAACCGTGATGTGTTAATTAACAAAACACAATTTCAATCACACCACACAACACTTATTTATTTTTGCATTACAAAAGTGTTTTTAAAAAAACAAATTTATTTTTTTTGTTATTTTAAATTATTTTTTTATGTTTATGTATCGTTTTGATATGATGATATCAAAATCAATATTTTTAAAAAAAATATTTTTATATATTTTTAAATAAAAAACATTTTAAAATATTACCGCTCTCACGGACACTCATTTACCAAAAGAATAAAAGAAAATGAAGTGGAGCAATGGATTGATAAACATAGAGAGCAATAGTATAGTTTCATGTACAGAGAAAGAAAGCAACAAAACAGAGAAAGGAAAAGAAAATGGCCACAATTTTAGACCATGCTGTAAAGGCACAGAGAATTAGCGAGAAACCATTCCAATTGGGTTGTGGAAAAGGGAGTGATTCTTTTTGATCGATCGACCTCAACACCAAAAGAATAAAAGATAGAAAAAAAAAATCTTCTTTTGATTGGTTTAGCTGTATATTAAAATATCCAAAAGCCATACTATTATGAAAAATCTGGAGATCATCCTTGACTGTTTGTCAATTTAAGCAAGTATTTAGGAGTATAATATCTTCTGCTTCTAGGTGTATTTTATTTGAAAAAATATTAAATTAGTTTTTTTAGTGATTTTTTATGATTTTAATATACTGATATTAATTATAAATAAAAAAATTAATTTTTTAATATATTTTTAAGTAAAAATATATTTAAAAGGCATGATAGTAAACGCATAATAAACTCAAAGTGGAATTGAAAACAATGAAGTCTTTTGAAAATTACATATGATCTCAGAAAAGTGATCACTAAAATCATATATATTAGACAAAGTTAATTCTTCTAGTTCCAAAATATTAGTAAACATTACCTTGTTTTCTTCAAAAAAGTAAAATTAATATTAACAAAAATTAAAAGAGTTGGCGAATTCATTGTTCACCTTATCATCATGAAACACTATTAATTGTGCTTTGTTTTTTTAATTTATTATTTTTTCAATTTATACTTTAATATTGGATTTATTATTATTTAAATTTTATAATTTATTTTTATTTACTATCTATAAATTTATTTTCATCTCGAGTTGGCTTTAAAAGATATTACATCCTACAAAAATAAAATAAAAAAAATTAGATTATTTATAGAATTGTTATTATATTTTATTTAGTGAATAAAAAGTTCTTGCCATATTAAGATTACAATTTTATCATTGAACTCTAAAAAACCCTAGCCATCATAGTTCACCACATCTTCTTGTTTTTTAATTTTCAATCTCTAGCAATGGACGGAAATTATCAAACATATAATGGACATTATCAACATTTCTCTCTGCACCAGTATCATCATCAATAAATTTCCTTTTAATTTTATTTTTCAAGAATTTATTCAGGAATTCAAGATAGTCTTCCTTTTCCATATGAGAATTGTTGATGCTATATATCAATCCCTTTTCTTGCTCAAAGCCCTTAGAGACTGCGAGTTTCTTAATATATAAGTAGCGAGCATCTTATATATATTAAACGAATATATATATATATATATATATATATAATCGAACACAACTTATATATTTGTATTAAATTCATCCATTATTTTAGAGAAAACATGAATAAATGGCAATGGGGACTCAAAGGTCTAAACATGAAGGGAAACTAGATTGTATCATGGCATCTTATAAAACATAAAAGGAGTGCATGGGCACAAATGATTATATGGCATATAGCTAGAAATATTAACTTCAAGAAGGCCCAGCTGAGGCCCATCAATTTTTCCCACCAATCTACCTACAAAAATTTAAAACATTTATGTAATAATTTTTTTATTTAATTTAAGAAAAGAAAGGTGGTATTTAATTAAAAAGAAAAGAGACAGAAAGCAAGCACGGAGGGTAAGTGATTGTGGGTGGGGCTTAATTCTACCACTGGCAATCACCTTTTCCATGGCCCGACATTTATTTTTTTATTTTGTTTACCCCTTGTACTGCCACGTCACGTGCCCAAAATCCCTCGTCTTTTGAACCTTGAGCTTGTTACCTTTCACTCGCTCGACTTTACGTGTAAAACACACTCTCTAGCCATGAAAGAGACCCGTAGCCTGATGACGCAGTTCTTGTTTTGAAGCTAAAAGAGACAAGCACTGCTTCCGTTGCCTGCGCTCGTCTACGGACACGGATTCGAGATGTCGGCAATCTTCTTTTTCTTGTGAGTGTATTTTTAAACATAATTTTATAATGTATTAAGTTCACTTGGTAACAACCACTGGACTAAATAAATTTTATGGATAATTTTTTTTAAAAAATTAATGATATAAAAACAGCAGAATATTTAATTGATTTTAAATGATTTAGATTAATATATTAAATTTATAATTTTTTTATAAATATTATTTTAATGAACTGACCGGATTGAATTGTTTGTTTTTTATTTTTCTCTTCTCTTATTTTTTCTTGATTGAGTTTTCACTAAATCCAGATAAAATAGAATTCAAGATTAAATTAAAAAGTTATTAAAAAATTAAAAAATAAATTAAATAAAAATTATAAAAAATATTTTTGAGAAGATTACTGTATTAAAAAGACATGTATAGTTTATTCAAAGTTGTGATTGTGATCTTTTTTATTGTTATTGTTGAAATTATTTTGAAGTTATTTTTTTTCTAAGTTATGCACAGTGACAATGTAGCTTCAATGTGTTTTTAATAAAACTATTTTATTTTTTTATTTTTTATATTATATCCTTGATTTATATACTTAATTTTAGAAAATTCAAATGAAAATATTTTTTCATAAAATCAAGTGCTAATCTAATCACATGAATTTTCTTACTCCCAGAGAACCCATATGGTGCCCATCAAAACAAACTATTATGACTGGAAAAAAATTTATATCTTGCGAATCCACAGTGCAATTATACATGGATAAACAATAAAAGTGACAATGCCTAACTCTTTTTAGTTTTTTCTTTAATTGAATTTGATAACTATAAACATTTATAAACATTTAGCTAATTAAATTTGTTAAATTTCAAGTTTCAACCTATTAGTATATTAGTGGCCTTGGATGGTTTTAATTTGATACCACTCAACCTATCAAATAATATTAGTGCGAAGAGAGAAAAAACATTAACATGAAACTTTGCTTGAATTCTTAGTATTTTATTTATAAAATAAATAAACTCAAGATACAATCTTCAGTTTTCATGGTTCAAAATAAAAAAAATATTGATTTTGTATCTAGTCGTATATTTAAATAACATCCACTTATACACACACATGAGTATTAATTATTAAATATTTATTTAAAAATATATTAAAATAATATATTAAAATATTTATTTTTTACATTGAACAATTTAAAAATATAAAATATTAATTTAAAACTATTCGCTGTAACATAATACCATCTTCTAATCCACCCATCTTTCTCCCTCCATCTCAGCTTCAAGCTTTTCGCATGAATCAATCCTAACGCGCTTAAGAGATGCGAGTGTTGGTTTCTTCAACAACAAAATTATCTAAAAGAAAAATAAAATAAAATCATGATTTGGTCTTTGTGCCTGCACCGTTAACACAACAGTTACTGCCCGGCGCCCCCTGTTAGGTTGGTTGCCATTTCATGTAAGGCACCAACCATTTACCATTGACTATTGGTAGCCACCATTGTTGAATGAGATAGAGTTGGTGGCCACCATTGTTGAATGAGCTAGAGTTGGTAGCCACCAATGTTGACAACAAACCAAGAAGAGCTTCCATGAATGCCTATAAATAGAGGCATATATAAGAGAGCAAAATGAGAGAGGAAGTAGAGCCAAAGAGGTGAGAAATGTAGGAGAGAGTGGGCTGCCATTGCAGCACAAAAGGAGAGAAATAGAGTGAGGTTGAGAGTTGCTCAAAGAGAGGATGATTCCTCCTCCTCTATTATTGTAAATCTTGTACTCTCCCTACATAATGTAATGGCTTCTCCCGTGGATGTAGGCGGTTTTGCCGAACCACGTTAAATATTGTGTCAGTGTGCTTGGCCTCCTATGAGCAAATATCAATACATCACCGGTCGGAATTCCCAACACCCCCCACACCCCTCCCCCCCTCCGGCTATTAATGCAGTCACACAAACCACTCTTCCCTTCTCTCTCTTTCTGAATTTTTTCATATCTTCAAAACTTGCTTCTATATTGGTTTTGCGCTTCGTTCTTCCAATCCTAAACTCCGAAGTTGTTTCACATAACAAAATTTTCTTGAAGGTCAGTCTTTGTTTCAGTTTTTACTGTCCCTATTCAGGAATGTTTCATGTCTTTTGATGACAACTGTGTTTTTCCTTCTTTGTTAAAGATAATGTTAGTATTTGGCATATTTAGTTTTACGTTTTAAAATACATTTTAAAAAATAAAATAACCATAACTATATTTCTAAACATCCCCTTAATTTAAAGATCTGACACATGGACATGGAAGTTATAGTGTTCGTTAACAAACTTTGTTTGGTTACTGAGAAAACTGAGGGAACCATAAGAGAAAGAAAGATGCTTGCTTTATGGATTATGGGGTGTTTTTGTTTTCAAAAATTGAAACTTTCTGTTCTCTGGCATACTATACCAAATGGGGTTTAAAAAAAAGGGAAATTTTGAATTTATGCTCTCTCTTTTTTTTTTTTGGTTTCTTTTTTTGATATTCTGTGGCTGGCCAAAGAGGGAAACAGAGCTTGACTTGAGTTAGTTTCTAGTACTAGTACATTTTGTGTGTTTATGTTAAAGATAATTATGCAATGGTTACTTGATATCTTTGTTACATTCTCTTTTTTAAGGCTATATTTTGATCCTGTTTTGACAAAATCGTACCTTTCTTTCGTCCTTTTCTACTTTTCTGTTTCTGCTTTATCTGTTCTTGGTTTTCTCTCTCTCGTGGGAATTCAAAGTTCTACATTTTCTCTCTCCTTCTCTCTCTCTTTACTTTGAAATAATGGTCTAGTCTTAATTCTGAATTGCTTTTTATAAAGTGGAAACTAATTACAAAAGAATGTATAGTTTGTTCTATTTTTAAGCCTTTTATAGACGATCCCCCATAAATATGAGGGTTTTAATTAAGATTGTGCCAAGTAATATGCTACTTGTTGTCAACTCTTTGTGTTGATCTCTTCTTTGGTTGTCTTGTGATGCTCAAACTTACAAGGTAAACATTTAAGAATCATGTTAATATATTCCATTTTATTGTTTTGATTGTAGTGTATTTTGATGCATTTTACTAGGTAGGACAGACAGGTTTCTTGTTTTCTGTTTTGTTCTTGAATTCTATGCTCCCTATTCTCCTCTATTTGTCGGCTTCAATTTTTTAATTAGTAGTTTGTGGATTATTAAATAACATTTTTATATCTCTCCAAGTAGTGCGACAATTAAGTGAATCCTTATGAAGGACAAGATACTCGGACAGCGTTTTAAGAATATTCCATTCCAAGGTCACATTTGAAAGATTATTAAATGTGGTTTTGTTTGATTTGTTGAGAGTTTAGTTACTTGCAGTCATTCCTGGTTTCTAGCAAGGTATTTAATTAACAATCAGTCAACTGTTGTCTTCTTGCTCGTGTTCAGCTGGTTCCATCGTTGATTCAAGCAATCGCCTATGGCTTGTATTTGACCAAGATAAAGAAGACCATGGTTTTCTACATCGAGGTGTAAGGTGATTTGTGGGGGAATCTTTAGGTTTTTGGATAGCCTTTTCTTGGTTGTCTAGCTAGCAAATCTCAGAATTTTATCTGAGATCTGTTCTGGCAATCGGAGGAAACTTGTCAATTATTTACACCACGGATGTCTTCTTTGTTCTGCGGTTGAGCAAATGGGGGCTTGTGTTTCAACTAGTCGGAGTACTTGCAGTAGCAAGAGCAATGGAGAGCCAGTTCCTCCCCCTTGCTTGGGGATCGGTTTTTGCGGGCCAAAGAGAACTAAAAGGACATTCTCCGATCATTTAGTTACACTTCAGCATTTACCATCCATACCTAACAGGGTTTTCACCAATGGAAAGAGCCGAACTTCTTGTATATTCACACAGCAGGGTCGCAAGGGAATAAACCAAGATGCAATGATTGTGTGGGAAGTAAGTTTTATTCTTTCCGTTGAGATTAACTTTTAATGACATTTGGACCTATTTTTGCTTGGTCACACTATGATTCTTTGTAGGATTTCATGTCTGAAGACGTCACCTTCTGTGGTGTCTTTGATGGTCATGGTCCACATGGCCATCTTGTTGCCCGCAAGGTGAGGGATGCCCTGCCAGTAAAATTACAGTCATTCTTGAACTCTTGTCAATCAAGGCAAAATGAACCGGGTCAAACCTGTTTCATGGGGAATTCAAAGAAATCAGATGTTGGGGATTTGGACAAGGATGGCTCTGTCGAGGATAAATTGAATTCTTTATGGAGAGAAGCATTCCTGAAGTCATATAAGGCCATGGATAAAGAGCTGAAATCCCATCCGAATTTGGACTGCTTCTGCAGTGGGAGCACAGCTATCACTATTGTAAAACAGGTATTGCAGGATTAAAGCTCATTCTTGATATTGCCTACATTTAGCTTTGATAGGAAGTATAGCTTACTCTTCATGTCCCATTTATTTAGATTTAGCCTTATCGAAGTTGATTATTTGTGAATTTAAAGGGATCGAATCTGTTCATGGGATATATTGGGGATTCGCGTGCAATAATGGGATCTAAGGACAGCAATGATTCCATGGTAGCAGTCCAGTTGACTGTTGATCTGAAGCCTGATTTGCCAAGTAGGTCATTTGCACTATAATTAGTATGTATTTTGATGTTGTACTCATCTTTGCAAACCCAATAGTTGATTTGAAAACTAATTGCTGCAGGGGAGGCTGAAAGGATTAAGCGTTGTAAAGGTAGAGTCTTTGCATTGCAAGATGAACCTGAAGTGCCAAGAGTTTGGTTGCCATTCGATGATGCCCCTGGTCTGGCAATGGCTCGGGCATTTGGGGATTTCTGTTTGAAGGAATATGGAGTGATCTCTATACCTGAGTTTTCACACCGGACACTTACAGACAAGGATCAGTTCATTGTTCTTGCCTCAGATGGTGTATGTTTTCTCCTCTTATATTTTCTTCTCGCAATTCCTTTTCTATCTGTTAATATTGGATCTGATTTTCTTCTATTTTGTGATACTAGTTGATGGATCATTTTAATTTGATATTTTTAAGGTCCGATGATTGCTGACTAAAAATTTATGGACTGTGGTTAAATATGTGAATGCCTTTGACATTGTTCCATATCCTGTATACTGCGTAGCAGAGAGGAAAGCTTGTAGTGGAGTGTTGAGTGTATTCATATACCAATCAAGCAATAGCACTTTTTGAAAGGCATATAAGAACAAAAGCTCATTGTGGTGGATGGTCCCTATTGCAATGTGGATTTTGGATTGCTATGATAGTATTTTGAATTGGAGGTTTCTTCAAACCCAAGTAGCAAATAGATTGATCCATCTGGCATTTTATGCCAGCTATGAGTAACACACTCATTCATTGGCCAGCCTTGTTTTGCTTTAAATATTGTTGCGTTAAGTATTGGATTGAAAATGAGTTCAGGATGTGCCTAATCTATTCTATGACTTATTATAATCATGTCACACGCAAGCTTTTCAAAATTTATTTCTCACATATATGTATGTTCTGACTCTGAAACATGTGCATCATCTTTGATTGTATTGCCAAAGTCGTCTGAGTTTTCAGTCTCAGATTCTGCTTAACGGCAGCGAAATGTTCTTGGTGCATGGAATTTTTTGTTCACTGTTCCCTTTTGATTATTCGGTACATGGTGACTATCTTCTGTTGTCTCATCTATGTTATTGGATTTATTTGTATAACCGGAGAACCAATTCAATTCCTAAAACATCTAAATGTGCTATTAAGAAATATATCACAGTTGCAGTGCAACTCCTACATGCTGTCAAGAACATCCAAATTCATCAAGATGAACGGCAATGCAATATTGAAGCTAATGATGCCAAAGCAATTTTGGAATGCTAGAATTATAACCTTGTTATGGTTGTTTTTAAGATAGTGCTTGGCAATATATGTGTGCTAACTATTAAGTTGGAATTGCTTCAGGTTTGGGATGTCTTGAGCAACGAAGAGGTGGTTGAGATTGTATCCTCAGCTCCAACACGGGCATCAGCTGCAAGAATTCTGGTGGACTCAGCTGCTCGTGAATGGAAGCTCAAATACCCAACTTCAAAGATGGATGACTGTGCTGTAGTTTGCTTATTTTTGGATGGGAAAATGGACTCGGAATCTGATTACGATGAACAAGGCTTTTCTTCAGCCACTCTTGATCAGAGCAATCATTCTGGTAATGCTGCTGAGTCAGATGATGGGCAGAAATCCGAGCCATGTTTGCAAAGAAACTTTACTGTCAGGTCAGCTGAAGAAAATGATACTTATGGAAGACTAGCAGCTGAAGTTGATGGAGATGGCGAAACAGTGAGTGCTGATGATCAGAGTTGGTCAGGTTTGGAAGGTGTCACACGAGTTAATTCACTTGTTCAACTTCCAAGATTTTCTGAGGAAAGGCCAGACCCATAATTTTTGAGGTTATCTACGTAAAATGAAAAGAGGCTGCCATCATTGTAATATTTTGGCTCTGGGGCCCCATTATATTCAAAGAACGTCCTTTTATTCTGGTGGCATAACGTTTTGAAAATTTATCCTGATAAATGATTGCCACAGCCTTCTGTTTTATTCAGAGAATTGAACCTAATCAACATAGCTCTGTTAATATGATTTTGATTCTGTCAAGATTCTGAATGTGCTTATATTGATTGTGTTGGAAGAAAAAGTCCTGCGTTCACTTCAAAAACTAGTGATTAAAGGAACACTTCACTTGGCTTGTCTGTGATTGATTTTCTTCCTGTTTGAATCCAGCTCCCATTTAACTAGTCACTGGTACATCATCTTCAAATGTGCCAAGAGACTGGAAGCAATAATTTATTGGTAGTCTCTTCTTCGTATGGCGGTCGAAGTCTGGACTTTGGTAGTTGCTTAGCTGCGGGTTAGAGTTCTGAGAGCAGTCCTTTCAAGCATAACATGTGTAAAGTGGAAGACCCTCTTCAGATTCCAATCCTCCATGTAAAATTCTATAACTTGGAGGTTTGGCTTAGATGGTGATTGAGTTTACTTCCCACAATATCATTTTAAAGTCAAATTAATGGGAGGCTGCAACAAAGCATTCTTGTTAACATATCACTCTGAGGATGGACTGTCCAGTACTCAGTTTGAAGAGATTTAGGCCTGAGATTTAGACATGTTTATTTGATGAAAATTATTTTTTTTTATGAAAAGTAAATTTTTAAAAAATAAATTATTTTTTGATAGTTGGTAATGTAATAGAAAATAAGTTGGAAAACACTTTCCAGTGTTCGGTTATGTCATGGAAAATGAGCTGAAAAATAATTTATTAATGTTTTATTTTTCTCAAGTTTATTAAAATAATGAAACAAATCTTACAAATTAAAATGTTGAATGATAATGAAATTGAAAAAAAAATAATTTCATAAATGATCTCAAATAAAATAAATAATAATCAAAATAATAGAGATCGAATCTTAAAAATAAAAAAATAAAAGATGAAAAAATTAAAATAATAATAATTAACATTTCATAAATTATTTCAAATAAAATAAATAACAATCAAAAGAATGAGGATCAAATTTGATAAATAAAAAATTTCAATAAAAAATAATAGGAAAAAAGTAAATAACAATTATAAAAATGAGCAACAAAGTTAATATAAAAATTAAATTTTAAGAGATGAAATTAAAAAATAAATATTCAAAACAAAATATATACAACAATAAAAAATTTAAGGATTAAATTTGATATAATCAATAAATGATATGATATTTCTAAATTTTTCATAACTTCAAAAAAATATTTTCTTATATGATATTTCTAAATTTTTCATAACTTTGAAAAAATATTTTCTTCTCAAATTTTTCAGGAAAATACTTTCTTGAAAACCAAGCTATATTTTACTTTGACTAGAAAATGTTTTTCATTAATTAATTTTTTTAACAGTAAATAAATATAAAAATATTTAAAAAGCAGTTTTCTAAAAAATAAATTGCAAGAACAAACAAATTTGAAAGATCTTAATATGAAAGAGAGAATTCTATTTCCACCAGGACTAAGTTGAAGTAATATTGCATGAAATACAAGCAACATTACAAACATTAAATGCAGTATTGCTAGGAGAATCATAGCATATGAACAGCCACAGGAATGGGCAAACATGCCATTAATAGATCCTCACTAGTCAGGTAAGAACAGAGATGTAGCCGGAGAGACAGAAGAGACCAATTTAATGGCCGCCAGGCTTGGTGATGAAAAATGAGACCCCAAAATTAGGTAAACAAGGTTTGCTCTGCAAGTTTCAACAGACCACCTTACAATGCACTTCCAAGAGCCTCCCATGCAATTCTTAGAGGAAAATTCCATGGCCTTTAAGAGGAAAACAGCATTGTCATATCTTAACTAACAACAAATGAAAATAAAAATAAAGACTCGTGGAAGCCATAAAAGTATATGCTTACCCTATTTTCAAGAAATAATTTAAAAATATCAAAAACATATTAATTCAAAATAAAAAAAATTAATGTTTTTCAAAAATAGTTTTGAAAGACACCCTTAACCAAAAAGAAACGGCTACTTAAGTCGCAGTGAAAAGCTGACCTAACTCACTCAAATCCTGACTATAAGAAGAGCAACACTCTTCTCACTTCTTCATCAATCACTGCTAACATATCTCATCTGCTAGCTTGGCAGTCATAAAATGGCTTCCAAATCAGAGTTCTCTCTTCTCGCTCTCATTGCCCTGCTTGCAATATCCGGGCAAGTACTCGCTGGGCGTCAGATTCCGAATAATGTGGATGTGAAACAGCCTGATTTCCTGATATCTGACAACAGTTTTCTCATTCCAGGCATTGGACGTGTACTGGTTCCACCAACTCCCAGCCTTCCTTCTTATGATCCACATATGGGCATTGGTAACTATAGTCCAGGTGGAGACGATGCATTCCCTCCAATTCCTAATGGTGGTGTTTCAACAGTAAACCACCCATGAGAGCAGTATGTGGACTGCTGCTTTTAATAAAAAACTATGCTAGTTGCATTTGTTTTATCTTTTAATCAAGTATCCTAGATGCATGAATTTATGTAATGTTGTTGCAAGGAAGTTGGGTTTGTTAAGCTTCCTTGAATGGAAATTAAGTGTGCTGCATGTACCAGTCCAAGTTTGTCCCTAGAATGTAATGATCACTTTATTCTGTCTTCTTTATTGTTTACTTTCAATATGGTTGTAATTGTATGGTTCTTATGAAGACTGAAATTCTTAGCTATTAAATTGAGCTTCTGCAGGTAAGCCCTACCAGACAATAATGACAGATCAATTTCAATGCATTACTACTAATCTTTTCAGGTATTCCCTGGCCATTTTTATGGTTCTTCACCTGCATTTTACATAGCCAGTTCATCAATGAAGAGAGATTTTGTTCTTGTAGTTCACTGGTAGTGTAAAACATTCACTTACTAGACAAATCAAGAAACCTATTCATCAGTATAATTTAGTGTTTACTCTTCAATATAAGTAGATGCAGATGCAGGAAGAGCTTCTAATGACAAAAAGGACATTAGGGGACTCATTTGCCCCCTTTTCTCAGGAAAGTATAATGAAAAAGACCTAATTGATTAGATAATACACAATCTAATACGTAAATTTCATCCTTGATTGATTAAAAACTACTTGGATTTGTGCACTAAATCATTGAATCTTAACATCGCCATCACCACTAATGATCTATATGATTTTGTTTTTCCACTTTAAGAAGTCTTATTCAAAACCAAACTTAATGAAGGTGGCTTGTTGTAACCATCAGCAACATTTACATTGATCTCTTCCTTCTACGAGCTATCCACTTCTTTTCATATAATTACTCAAACTATCCTTAATTGCAAGCGAAGGCAGTAACACATTTACACCTTGCTGGAAAACCATAATCATAAACATCAAAACCAGACAAAATCTTTCAATAAATAGACACTTTAACAGGTCAATCAACACATAAAATCACATTCAACAAAGCAAATTTCCAGTGCAGCATTGGTTACCAAGATTTTATTGCAAATTAAGTTCGTTTCTCAGTGTAAACCATTGTTAGAAATCCATTAGTAAATAAAGACAATGAGAAGATGAAGAATAATAACACAAGATTTCAAGTAGTATTTTTCATTCAAAAAAGAATGCTTGGTTCTACCTCAAAGCATGACTGGAAAAGCAAACAATCAACCATTCTTATTTTTTTCTTTTTTTTTCAAAGTATAGTTTTTCATTAAAAACATCTGAGAATCCAAAAAAGACAACTCCTGAGAATGCTCTCTGAATCTGGAACTTCCGAAATGGCGAAGTGGTAGTCTCATAAGGAATAATCTGCAGCAAAGATTATAATTTCCCTGGGTAAGTAAATAAAAACAGGTGGGAAAAGAAATATACCAAAGAGAGGAGCATACAAGAGGGATAGCATGTAGATCTTTCTGTTGGAGTTTAAACTCTAGCATAATCTTGTCATTGGATAAGAAGTGAACGAAAAAGATAAAATAACAATGTCAGTTCTTCAGATCGATCACGCGATATAGTAATTTCTCAGTCACAGTTGGCAATTGACTTCTACAAAAAGAAAGTAATAAGTAACGTAGCAAATCACTTTCATAGAAACTTTGCCAAGACAATATGATGGAACTAATTAGCACACCTACCACCAAATATGGTGTGCACTAGACTTCATCATATATGATCTTAATTACAACCACACATGTTTTTCATAAAAAAACCATAAATCAAGAATCTGCCTACTCGTAAAGGTCTCAAACATCAAGTCACCTGCATCTTGTAATTATAAAAGTGGGAATGTGTCATGTTTTGATTGAGGAGAAAAGACATAATTAAAGAACCAAACATCATAATTACTTGAGCTACCCATTTGAAAGCTGTATTTCATGTGTAAATGTTGTCTTTAACCTTCGCAATAAATAACAATCATTTGAGTTAACAAATCTTCAAAGTCATCTATACCCAAGTATCACTCCAATTAATAGACCAAAACCAGCCCTTTAAAAACTCTCACCGCTTCCTTTTCCCCTCTTTAGTGGCAATAAGCTACCACCTCATAATCATTGCACCTCAAAACCATTTGCAATCTTTCAATTCGAAACTGAAAGAAATTCAAAAAGATTCACAATTATTTATTCAAAAGGATTCACAATTCTTTCTCACTCATTCATGATTAACATGAAAATTTATATAAACTCTCGTATAAAAGACTTATGCTAATCAAAATCCATCGAAATGAGAATTCAAGCCCTTAAGCCATCACAAGAACAATTATCTACTCTAACAACCAATAAAACTTACACACAACTATAAAGTTACAAACTTTCGATTCTCACGAGGTTATTAGCTTCTCCAAATAAAACCCACTAAATATAAACAAAAAACAAACAATAAGTAATTCAAGGTTTGGAGAATTACCAGAAAAAAGAAAAAAAGGAGATAAACGGGGTTTTGGAGAATTACCTGACAAAAGCAAAAGGCGGGGTCCTCGCTAGAGAGAGATAAGAAATTAGAGACCAACAATCTTGAAAACAATGAAGATAAGGAAAGCCAAAAAGATGCATAGGAATAAGTAATCCACAAAAACAAAAAACTTGGTTGATCCATGATTTCTTTTCTTTTTATCATTGTTGTAGTTAAGGTTGTTGTTGGCTTGGTTTGGTTCTGCATCATCAAGTGATTCAAGTTTTGCCATTGTTGTTTTAAAACAACAACTGCTGGGTTTGCAGAGAGATCTTTCAGAGGAGGTTCGATTTGGAGATCTAGACTCTGGAGCTTTGTTTTGTCTGACTTATGTCTCTGTGGTTTTTAAGGTTTGCTAAAATTGGGTCGTTTGCGTCCCGCGCAATTTTGTCACCAAAATGATTTGTGGACTGTAGGCCCACTACTTCTACCCACAGCAGCAATCCATATCGTGTGAAGGGCGCCGATAAATAATTACACTCCAAAAAACTGGATTACTTTCACTTCGGGTCATTGAGTTAATTTTTTTTTTATTATTATTAATGTATATTTTCCGTTAATTTTTATATATTTTAACTAATTATATAAATTTTAAAATTAATAATTATAAAAATTTTAATAACCTTAAAACTTGTAAATCTTGAACTAATAATTTTTAAAAGAGTAAATTTAAAGTCTTTGTAGCTAAGTTATATCATTTAAAATTGAATTAACTATTTTTATTAAGTTGAGGTGTATTTTTTTAAATAATTTTTTTATATTGATTTTATTAAATTTGATTGCGTCAACAAGTAATTTGAATTGTGTCAACCGGGTGATTAAAAACCTCTTTAATTATTGAGCTACTTGAATATAGTACGGGTAACAATTATGATCCTAATCCCATTTAGTTAAAGGAAGGTCTGGTTTGGATGATTAATGGATTTGCTCATGTGTCTTTATTTTGGATTTGAACTCAGAAAGAAAGACTAAAACAACGAAATTCTCGTGAATACATCAATTTTAATGTATTCAATCTGTCAAAAACATCATTTATATTTATAATGCTAACCCCAATTCAAGTAACCCAACTCCATTTGGATCAGCAGCGGATACTCCAGTGTCAGTTTCAACCCAAATCCTGTTGCCATCTCAGGCAACTTGTAGTTAATCTTCTAATATAATGCATGAATGTGTGCTTCTGGTGATGGTTAATGTGTTGTTTAACATTAATCTTCCAAGAAACCAACCTTACAAAGAGTAGAAGCATAAGCTCTTGTTACAGTCCCGGTGATTATTTTTTCTTCTAATTTTTACTGTCAAGGAGATTGGAGAACATGTCATGATATACAAGAATACAAGCATAACAAGGAACATTGATTACTTTACAAATAATTTGTTGGAGCCATGGTTACCATCTCAGTCTCAGCTAGACACAGCAATCTTGCGGGATTCGTACCATGTCTTGATTATTCTTTCTTAGCACTATGTTTCAATGCATTGATCACTACAACTCAATACAAGAATCTCTTTCTATCTCTACACAAAAAAACAAGAAGCTTTCCCGATGCATGAACCTCCTTGAATTGCAACAGTCATTTGAATGGTTAGGCGTATGCAACCATCCGCTATATTTGCAGGAGGCTGCTTCTGTAGTTTGAACCTGCAGGATCCTGGTTGCAAGTAAACAATCTTTGCTGTTGCTCTAAGCCTCACCCTAAAACAATAATACTATAACAGAAAAATTATGGTAGAGGCTGGTCTGTGAACTAAGTTGCCCGTCCACGTGCATATTGCCATTGGAAAATGCTTGCAAATTGAGATGATTTTTAAGCCTATTGGCAGCCAATACGCAACCCTTCTTGTTGGGACATTATTTTCTACAAGGTGAGAAAAGGGGATATCAGCATATAGGAAACAAATCAAGTGCATTACAACATGAACCTGTGCAAAATTACAGTTCCTCAGATCTACAGTATAGTTTCAATTACTAGATGCCAAGTCCAGGAAAACAAAAGTTTAGGGTTCCATCGGTCAGAATCTATGGACTTCCAAAATGAAGATTTTTTGAAGAAGTTCCGTTGTTATGTATCTCATCAGCACTGCTTGATGAGCTCGAGTTTGCCTCAGAAATTCGAGCTCCCGATTTCTCATTCGAATAACTTCAAACATAAAAGATAACTCAGTGTTTTAAATTGAGAACCAGCAAAGCATTTTCAAAATAGCAGGACATGGAAGAAAGGCTACAGCACAATTTTATCAGCAAATAACCAAAACTATGATAATTCTCACAAGTTATCACCAGAAAAGGAAATCAAAGAAAGGCATGCAATGCTACACAAACAGTAGGAAAAAAAGGCATGGATGCTTTCGAGTTCACAATGGTATTTGCCAGGGATCCCAAGTACTTAGGAACCCTTTAATGTCTAATGTTTATTACACTACGCAGCCAATCAGTCACCAAGAATGCATACGTCGTCTAAATAGTATAGATATATATATATATAAAGTCACAAAACTCAGTTGCAAATTAAACAAACGATAAAGACTCATAGCCATTCTTGCAGGTCTAAACTGTTGAGGCAGTGGAGTTACTCGTTAAATACTTCTGTTTTTCGCTGGTCAATGATCATGGATGCTTACATTGAGAGTACGGTCACCCAGATGAGCTCCACACAATCTACCCAAAGAAGCCTTTGTTCAAGAGGGATAACACCATAGGTAATCAAATGAGAAAATGGCCAAAGCTTCCATCTTGCCTATCAAGCAGGTCAGCAAAAACAGTTCACTATCACCATGACATTAATAAACCGATGAACAACTATCAATCAGATGGAAGTTATTTAACATTAACCTCAAAGCATAAATGCACCTTAAGAATTGCCCTGGTGAAAAACATTGGAGGGACATTAGGGTATAAAGACACCAAAATGGACCTTTTCCATTGTAATATTCTTTATTGCTGCAAGTCCATGCTACCTGTAGCACTGTTAGAAACAAATGACTTTTAATTTAGAGTACATTGAGCTGTTCAAGGTTTTTTTTTCCCGATAAAAAATGTATTCAATAAGATTTCATAGGTTCGTCAAACTTCAAAAATTTTTTTTGCTCGTAGTCTCAATTAATATGGAGGGCATTTTCAGGTGGGCTATTAACCTGTCTTCTTCACGATCGCAAGTTCAAATGTTCAACGCCAATCAAACATCAAACAAGATGGAAATTTGAAAACATATTGATGCAGGTTTAACTTAAAAACAACAATTAAATAAAAAACCCATAATATTTTAATTTGTGAAAGGAGCTGCCAAGATATGAATTTTTAAGTTCATACGTTTATTTTCTCTAAATTAATAATAATCAAGTCTTTTCTTTTTAAAAGATTTTTAAAATTTTAAATAAGCTAGAAACTCGACTTCAACTAAAAAACAAAAATAAAGATACAATATTATAATAAAAGAAACATAAAATTTAAAATAAACAAGAAATCTATAAAAAAATTATAAAAACGACAAGAGGGCTGACATAATTTTTTATATTTAAATGTCCAACAATCCACGTAGCAATACAGTAATTACAATAGAGAAAATAATCTTTGAAAACTTGTAAAAATCTAAGTGTGATTTAATAATCAAATTAAAAGTTATAATTTTTTTAAGATATTATTTTTACTTAACACGACCAAACCTAAGGTTTTTGATATAGCTTATTTTATTTGTCTACAAATACATACATTAGCTCGTTCATATAATTATTTTTATCTGGTTATTATATACTTACATTTAATTGTTCAAAACTACTCATTCTCGCTTGACCAATCACCTATTCTTCCTTTTTTTTACATGTTCCAGAGAAACACTTAGCTAAATTTATTAGCCAATAAAAAAAATTAAAATGCAATGAACAATGTTGATAACTAATTACAAGTATAAAATCAGATTCAAACCCAGTAAATCAATGGATTTTTTCCCATTAAACAACTTTAGCATCATAATCATATCAAAATCAAGAGAAACAGGTGTCAATTTGGGAGAATTTATTTATATCAATCACAACTGCAAAATAGATAGTGTATTATTAAAAACTGATTTTCAAATGAACAATGTTGATAACTAATTACAAGTATAAAATCAGATTCGTATCCAGTAAATCAATGGATTTTTTCCCATTAAACAACTTTAGCATCATAATCATATCAAAATCAAGAGAAACAGGTGTCAATTTGGGAGAATTTATTTATATCAATCACAACTGCAAAATAGATAGTGTATTATTAAAAACTGATTTTCAATTGGAAATTTATTAAAATAATAATAATATTATTATTATTATCAATATCACCGTATAAAAATTCTTACAAAAAAATAAAAAAATATTAAATTAATATTTGTTAAATAAAAAAAATAAAAAACAAGTTGAACGCATTAACAAACCCACAAAAATAGTTTTAGTTAAAACATTTGAGGTCCCACCGAGATTTGAACTCGGGTTACTGGATTCAGAGTCCAATGTCCTGACCACTAGACCATGGGACCATTTCTGTCACAAATCCTCCATTTCTTTTCATGATATTTTCTCACACAGTAAACCAAAAGCCCTGATGAGAAAAACCATGTTGAAACCTCCTCCTCTCTGCAACAACCCTACACCCCTTTCCACTTCTCCTACTATACAACAATCGTGGGTCTTCATCAAAACCTCCAAAAAATTTCCCCATACCAATTTTCACTTCCAATCCTAGGTGGTTTTTCACTGACAACAGCTATCTGCCCCCAGAATGGATAGGGCCCTTTAATGACCCCCCTGATATAGCCTCAGAAACCCCTCGAAACCTTAAACCATCTCCTTGGGTTCACCAAATGTCGAGTCTTTTATTAGATTACTCTATGGATATGGAATCAGGATTGGACCTTTTTGGTAACGAGTTTTTGGTCAAGATATCACCGAATTCTGTTTCTTCTGTTTTGAAATATATGGAACTTCACATAAGACTTGATCTTGCATTAAAGTTCTTTAATCGGGCTGGTAAGCAAAACAAATATACTTATAATCTTCAGTGTTATGATTCTTTGTCTGATGTGTTAGTTATAAATGGTGATTTAGATAATGTAAAGTCAGTGTGCTGTAAGTTTAGAGAAATGAGGCTTTTGATGAATGTTTCTGTTGTGAATTCTTTGATTAAGAGCCCTGGTAGTTTAGGGATGATAGTGGAGCTGTTACGGGCCGGGGTGTCGTAGAATGAAGGAAAATGGGACTCAACCGAGCTTGTTTACCCATGATTTTTTGCTTAATGGTTTGGTTAATTCGAGCGTTGATCGAATCCGTTGGAAAAACCCAGAAAACATTTTAGAAATTTAGAGATATGGAGTTGAGAAATGTGGCACCGGCATAAGATCATGCTGAAGGAGATTTTGATTTG